ACCTGGAACTAAGGTAATCAACATGTGGTGTCCAATTCAGATTTGTGTCCAAATATATTCCCAGTAGTTTGACTGGTTTTGATTGTAAAGCCCATTTGTCTGAGCTTATGAGTAGATCATTAGTTTTCGACTCGTTCATTTTCAAACGATTTGCCGAAAACCAGTCAGCTATCTGTCTTGTGTCTCCCTTTTGTTCATCGACCGAAAGAAAAGTGGTATCGTCTGCAAACATCACACAAAAATTTTCGATTGCACTAGGCAGGTCATTTATGTATATTATGAACAAAAGGGGACCTAATATTGAACCTTGAGGAACGCCACTAAAGGTAGGGCGCAATGATGATTCCTTATCACCACAAACTACATACTGCATTCGATCCGTCAAATATGAGCTCAATAGGTCTAACGCTTTTCCTCGAATCCCATAAAACTCCAATTTATGTAATAAGAGATCCGTAGGAATGCAATCAAATGCCTTTGTTAAGTCGCACATTGTCGCTACTGTACTGTGGCCATCGTCAATATGTTTGACTATTTCTTCCAAGAAACAAATCAAGGCATGTATGGTCGATTTATTTTTCCTAAACCCAAACTGAAACTGTGACAAAAGTGACTTTGACTCAAAATAACAAATTAATTTTTCCTTTATAATAATTAATAATAATAATAATAATAATAATAATAATAATAATAATAATAATAATAATAATAATAATAATAATAATAATAATAATAATAATAATAATAATAATAATAATAATAATAATAATAATAATAATAATAATAATAATAATAATAATAATAATAATAATAATAATAATAATAATAATAATAATAATAATAATAATAATAATAATAATAATAATAATAATAATAATAATAATAATAATAATAATAATAATAATAATAATAATAATAATAATAATAGATAGATAGATAGATAGTTTATTGACAACGTTTACATACAATGGTACGTTTGAAGTCCTATTACATAATTAGATAATGTTTTACAACAACAATAAATATAAAACATACAAAGGTTACAAATTTATAAAGAATACAAAGGTCACAAATTTATATAAAATACAAAGGTCACAAATTTATAAAAAATACATAGGTCACAAATTTATAAAAATCACTAATATTAAAAACACTTAACATTAAAAAAAAAACACAAATAAACAAAATAAAATACCTTCTATTGGTTTAACATTAAAAAATATTCATCAATATTATAAAAACAGTAAGTCAGTAAGAAATGTTTTGCAAAGTTTTTAAAAGTTGTTTTTGACATTAAATCAATTCTTACAAGACTAAAATGTTTTCTTAATGAATTATACAGGGAGACATCTAAAGAATTGTTTTTAGTTATTTGTATCCTCGATTTACTAACGATTATGTCTTGACAGGATCTGGTCCTATAATTATGCACATCCGAATGTTTTATTAAATTATGTATATTTTCGTGTGTTTTAATGAGAGTTTCCAGTATGTACATCGATGGTAGTGGCAATATTCCAAGTTTTTTAAAAATGTCTTGGCATGGTTTATTAAAGGCGGCGCCATCTATTAGTCGTACTGCTGTCTTTTGGAGCACGAAAACCTTATGCGCATTGGTAGAATTACCCCAAAGTAAAACGCCATAATTTAAGTTGCTGTGGATTAGTGAAAAATATACACTTTTTAGTAGATTATCTGGTAGGCATGACTTTAGTTGACGTAGTACAAATATTTGAGATGCTAATTTAGAACAAATATAATTAATATGAGGTGACCAATTTAAGTTGGAATCTAAGTAAATTCCCAGTAGTTTCACTGGTTCTGATTTAAGGGCCCATTTATCTGATGTTATCAATAAGTTATTTGTTTTTAACTCATTTAATTTTAGTTTGTTTGCCGTAAACCAATCTCCCACTTGATCTAACCCTCCTAATTGATTAGCCTTAGAGAGAACTGTGGTATCATCAGCGAATAATACACAAAAATTTTCAATTGCGCCTGGAAGATCGTTCATAAAAATAATAAATAAAATCGGTCCTAATATAGAGCCTTGAGGCACACCATTTGAAATTGGTAGAATGGTAGATTCTTTATTGTTACACGTTACAAACTGTCTTCGGTTCTTTAAGTATGAATCAAACAACTGTAATTCCCTCCCTCTTATACCATAATATTCCAATTTATTTAAAAGTAGATTACTTGGGACACAATCAAAAGCCTTTGTCAAATCACACATAGTGGCTATCGTGCTTGAGCCATCATTAAGGTTTTGTACAATCTGTTCCAAAAGGCAGGTAATAGCACGTATAGTAGATTTGTTTTTACGGAAACCAAATTGAAAATCCGACAACAGCGATTTTTCCTCAAAGTAAGAAATTAGTTTTTCCTTAATGATGATTTCAAAAATTTTGTTGATAATTGGTAGAATTGCTATGGGTCTATAATTGTTTGGTAAATCAACGCTTCCTGTTTTATGTAACGGTACAATTTTTGTTATTTTCAAGGGATCTGGCCAAATTCCTTCTTCCACACATTTGTTAAATAATCTGGTAAGAGGTTTAATTAAAAAACTTGCGGATTCTTTAATCATTCTACTGTTTATATTGAAGAAGTCAAGACAGGACGAATTGCTCAATTTAAGTATGGCTTGATGAACATCAGTTTCTAACACAGCAGTTAAAAAAAATGAAAACGTAGGTTTAGTTGTTTTGTTCAAAAAATAAAACGAATCATGAGTTGTCTGACCAATTGACTGTAAAACAGTTTCAGATATAGAAACAAAAAATGAATTAAATATATTTGGAGAAATTGATGTGCAAGTTTGATTTTTTGAACAGTGTTTTCTCTCCGAATTTATAATTTTCCACGAAGACTTGCTTATATTATCGGAATTTTTGATAGTGTGGGCATATGCTTTCTTTTTTTCTTCCCTTATGGCTAATTTGTAATTCTTTCTTAAAGCTACATAATTGTACCAATCATTCTCTATATGTGACACCGAATACAATTTTTTTGCATATTTCATTTTGTTTCTCATCTCTTTTAGTTCAGAGTTGAACCACTGTATGTGTTGTTTTTTGTTATTTTTTATGGTTTTTTCCGGAAAACACAGATTAGCATTACTATGTAAAGCATTTGAAATTAATTCAGATAAGTCGGAAGCACTCATATTGTTGATGTCAAAGGTATCCCAGGAAATTTCAGATATGTTTTTTACAAATGTATCGAGACCTTTTTTTGTTATAATCCGTTTTTTAATACGTTCGCTTAGAATAATAATAATAATAATAATAATAATAATAATAATAATAATAATAATAATAATAATAATAATAATAATAATAATAATAATAATAATAATAATAATAATAATAATAATAATAATAATAATAATAATAATAATAATAATAATAATAATAATAATAATAATAATAATAATAATAATAATAATAATAATAGAATAGAATAGAATAGAAGTTTATTGACGTTTTTTTTATACAAGATGTACATTTTGGTCATAATATAACAATATAAATGATAAAAATGATATAACCTTTTAAAATAAGAAAAGGAAGTTACAATTATAAAATGAATACTTTTAAAATACAAATACAAGATAAATAGAAATACAAGATAAATACAAATACAAGATAAATACAAATACAATTAAAATACAATAAAATCAAGATAAAATTAATGGTCAGAATAGTAAATAAAATATTAAATAAATACATAACAATTATATAGTCAAATTTAAGTTCGTTTAAATTTTAAGAACTCGTCTACACTATAGAAACATTCCTCAAGTAAGAATTCTCTGGCCAGACTCTTTAGTTTATTATTCGAAAGGTTGTTGATAATGATGTCTGAGTGATGAGCTTGAAAGCAGTTGTATATTCTGACATCTAGCTTATTGTTCTTAGTGGTCAATAATCTTGAGGCTGGGGGAATAAGACTGTTTGCATTTCTGGTATTATAGGTATGCAAATCGGCTTGTATACTAAATTTGTCTACGTTGTTATGTATAGCCAATAGAGTTTCCAGTATGAAAACACACGGTAGTGGTAGTATAAGAAGACTCTTGAAGAGAGGACGGCAATGCGCTGTATAATCAGCTGCTGCCACAATTCGCACGGCAGTCTTTTGCACTACGAAAGCCTTAATAGCTGTGCTAGCATTTCCCCATAATAATATAGCATATGTAAGCAGACTATGTAATAATGCAAAATATACTGTTTTTAATCCTGTTCTATTTGGAAAAGTTTGCATCTGCCTAAGTGCAAATACTTGCGATGACATCCTAGAACATAATATGTCTATATGCTGAGCCCAGCTTAAACCAGCATCAAGAGTTACACCTAGTAATTTGACAGGTTCATCTTTCTTTACTAGCTTACTTGAAGTGAAGACAATATGTTGATTCTTTTCCTCATTCAGTTTTAGTTCATTTGAGTTAAACCAAACTTTTGCCATTGAGACACAGTCATTATTTAAAAACTCGCAGTCTTTGGTCAATATGGTTGTGTCATCAGCAAATATTAATGTAAAGCCATGCTCGACTGCTTTTGGCAAATCATTTATATAGATTATAAATAACAAGGGTCCCAGAACAGATCCTTGTGGAACTCCTCTATTTGTGTGTTGTATCGATGATTCTGTATTATTGAAACATACATATTGCCTTCTGTCAGCTAGATAGGATGATAATAGATTTAACTCCCCTCCTCGAATACCGTAATATTCAAGTTTTGAAAGAAGTACCTCTATATTAACGCAGTCAAATGCCTTGGTCAAATCGCATAGGGTTGCGGTTGTACTGATGATAATAATAATAATAATATTAATAATAATAATAATAATAATAATAATAATAATAATAATAATAATAATAATAATAATAATAATAATAATAATAATAATAATAATAATAATAATAATAATAATAATAATAATAATAATAATAATAATAATAATAATAATAATAATAATAATAATAATAATAATAATAATATAATAATATAATAATATAATAATATAATAATATAATAATATAATAATATAATAATATAATAATATAATAATATAATAATATAATAATATAATAATATAATAATATAATAATATAATAATATAATAATATAATAATATAATAATATAATAATATAATAATATAATAATATAATAATATAATAATATAATAATATAATAATATAATAATATAATAATATAATAATATAATAATATAATAATATAATAATATAATAATATAATAATATAATAATATAATAATATAATAATATAATAATATAATAATATAATAATATAATAATATAATAATATAATAATATAATAATATAATAATATAATAATATAATAATATAATAATATAATAATATAATAATATAATAATATAATAATATAATAATATAATAATATAATAATATAATAATATAATAATATAATAATATAATAATATAATAATATAATAATATAATAATATAATAATATAATAATATAATAATATAATAATATAATAATAATATAATAATAATAATAATAATAATAATAATAATAATAATAATAATAATAATAATAGTTTATTCAGAACAGAGACAATATAATAATAAAAATAATTATAATATTATTCATAATAATAAATAGTATTAACGATCGATAAATTTACTATGTTTAAAGAACGTTAAATTATCTTTGAATAAACGTGTGTGAATTCATCCATGAGAAGCCAAAAAGACTGTGGATAGACGAATATATTTTCATGTTTTTTATACACAAAATTAACCTAGCTATTTTTACATATATGTTATTAAAAATTATTAAAACAGTAAAAAAGAACATTATTAAAGGCCAAAATTAAAAAAATTATAAAAATATTTTTTAGAGACTTAACAAGTGGTGAACATTTTCTCTTTCTAAGTTTTATATTTTAAAACGTTTCTTAATGAATTCTAATGAGTTTATATTGAGAAGGTACATTTTATATGATTCGGGGAGACTATTGAATACTTTACTCATTTGTTGTGAATATGTTCGGATACTAACATTTCTTCTTAAAAATTGTATCTGTACATTTATATTTCCTCTATATCTTGTTTTGTGATGGTGATTTACAAGTTGTACATTTATGATTTTATAAATAAAAATAATTATTTGATGTATAAATAACTGCCTAATAATATCAAGTATTCCTGCTTTCGAAAAAAGAAATTTGGATGGGTACGTAAGTTTCTTCTTTAAGAACTGTTTCTGAAGTACATTTAACTTTTTTTATGTAACAAAAGGCAGCTCCTCCCCAATTAAGAATCGAATATCTTAATCTAGATTCGATCAGAGAAAAATAAATAGTTTTGAGATGACAAGGATCTATTATATTTTTAATATACCTAAATTTGTACAGTAATGTTCTCAGAACATGACTGTCAAATCTAAGATGACAATCTATATGCAGTCCAAGATACTAAACATTTTTTAGGGGTAATGTCCACTTTAGAATTTGATCTTTCTACTGTTAATATATCATAATAAGGTACTGTACTAACATTGTAAGAAAAAGACACAAAGTAAGTTTTTTTGAAATGAATCGTGAGTAATTTATGACTAAACAAAGCGAGTATATTTTTTTAATCATTTTCAGTTTTTTTTAAATCTGTCTAGGTATTATCAGAATAAACAATTGCCGTGTCATCTGCAAAGCTTATTAATCTACCCGCACTAGAATAAGTAAGAATACTGTTGACATAAATAATAAAGAGGATAGGACCTAACACAGTACCTTGTGGTACACCAAATTTAATACATTTTCTCTCACCTAAAATATTGCTGATTTTTACCGTTTGAGTTCTATTTAATAAACAATTTGCACAAAGTTTATTTGGTTCGCCTCCAATTCCTATATCATCCAGTGCCTCCAACAGTTGCGTATGAGAAACTGTATCGAAGGCCCTAGCCAGATCCAGAAACACGCACAAGGTAGATTTTCTAATTTCTAGGGAGCTTGTAACTTCCGGTAACAATTCCGAAATAGCATCTGTTGTCGAGATTCCCTCTTAGAATCCAAACTGATTATAATTTTATTACTCGCAAGAAATTTAGTAATGCGAGTTTTAAGGGATTTTTTAAAGGCATGATATTACTGATATTGGTCAGTAATTTGAAACATTTGTTTTTTCTCCTATTTGAGTTTACTGCAGTTTTTAACTCTTGAGGGATACAAGAAGTTGTGAAAATTGAATTAATTAAATGAACTAGAGGAGAAGCAATAACAGGTGCAATATTTTTTAAAATTTCAGATTTTATAACATCAATTCCTGCAGCTTTTTTAGACTTTAAAGATTTTATTAATTCAATACCTTCAGGTTCTGTGACAGGTGCGAGGAAAAATGATCTTTGACATTATTTGTAGACTCAGGTATTTTAGAGGGAGGCTCGATTTCATGAGCGATGAGCGTATCTCTCACCAACATAAATAAAAAAAAATATTAAATTCTTCTGCAATTTCTTTATCATTTGTGGTCAATTCATTATTAGGATTTTTAATTTCTTTTATTTTATTTTGATCGTTAGTAAAAGATTTATTTTTTATTATTTTCCACAGTTTGTTTGAAGAATTATTGTTACTATCAATCATTTTTTTATAGTACTGTATTTTGTTATTTTAATTATTTTTTCTAATTTTCTTTTAAAATCAATGTATCTATTTTTTTTTAAATCATTTGTTGGGTCTGTTCGATATTCTTTGTAAAATTTTTTTTTTTCGTTTATAGAATTTACTAAGCCGTTGGTGATCCAACCCTTAATGCTTAATTATTTTCGTAATTTTGTGTTTCTTTATGAAAAATTTTAATAAAAAAAATGTTCATAAAGTAGTTGGATCGTTAATGTTATTAAATGCATTCCAGTTATATTTCTCCAGGTCATTTTTATTCTAGTATAATCTATGTAAATATTATATTTTTTAGAATTAGGTTGAGATTGAGAGTTCATTATATTTGGTATACACAAAATAGTTGCTTCATGATCAGTAATAAAATTATCAACAATAATAGAAATGCATTCTTCCGGAATATTATTTTTAATTGTTTTTAAAAATATGTGGTCAACACACGTTTTAGTATTACCTTGTTCCCTTGTTGGCTTATTTATCATAGAAATAAAATTATGTTCACTTATAGTCTAAGATCCGAAATAAGGTCGACCTTCACCCATCTGTTTACCAGATGAAAGTTTTTTTTTTATTAAATAAAATATGTTTCTAAATATACCGCAAATGGGTTGCCTGAGAAAATTCGGTCCACACTATTTATTTTCTAAAACTAAAAAAAAACGACATCCTGTAAAGTATTCCCAAAATGCTTTGACTGTGCCCAAACTTTAACCAGCTCATCGCATGATAGATTAAATCCTAAGTTCAAAATTTGGTGTTTTTCTCTTCATCCGTTTTTGAGTTATCTTCAAAATTCCAAATTTGCACTTTTCATCAAATATCTCAAATTAGGTCCATTTTAGAAAAATCATGTATAGAAACAAAATAATAGAGAATGACATCATAAACAACTTTTATCATGATTCCTATACTTTCCTTATCTATACACAGAGAGGAAAGTAAAAAATGGCCGTGACCGTATTTTCTTAGGCAACCTATTTGCGGTATATTTAAAAACATATTTTATTAAATAAAAAGAAACTTTCATCCGGTAAACAGATGGGTGAAGGTCGACCTTACATACGGATCCTGGACTATTAGGACGTCCATATAGGAGGATGTGTTTTAATTTTCTTGTAAAATATTTGAATTGTTTAATTGATATCACCTATTAAAATATGTTTATTATTGGTGTTCATGGTTTTTGTTATTTTTTCATTTTGCACAGTATTTAACAAACTATCGTGATTTAGATAATTAACCTTTGATACCGGGGTGTCTGGATCACTTTTTGTTACAAAATCTTGCGTGTTAATATCAAGTAATTCATGTGCTTTACACCATTTAAGTATAGATGTCCACGTTTGCAATAATCAGATGTTGTTTTAATATGTTGTTCTCTCTGTTTCCGTTAAGTCATCGATTATATTAATTTTTGTACCCTTTAGGTTCATTACGTTTTTAAATAGGGTCTGTTTTCTTAAATAAGAAATGAATTCTATCTTGACTGGACTTCTTTTATTTTTGTATATTTTTTTTTTATTTTGTTTAATACGCCAAATTTTTCGTTTTATTTCAATATTTTCTAATGTTATTTCGTTTATTCTATAATTCGTCTCTTTAATTTTTAATGCAAAGCGTACTTCAGATGCACTTATCTTATTTGTGATCCTAAATCAGCATTGCCCTATAGAATTATTTCTAAAAGTTGTTCATTTGTAATAACAGAAATATTCATCTTATATGGCCACTTATTTATCAGTATCATAAAAACTTGAATTGGGAAGCGACTTTGTAGATTATATAATTAATGGCTTTGAAATGCTAATGTTATTAGTGATTTTATTATTTCTTACATGAATGCAAGTAGTTTTAAATTTTCTTTGTAGATTTTTCGATTTAGATAATATTCAGAATATTTCCAATTTTAATATTTTTAACTCGAGGAGGGCAGTGGAATCGGCCTGAATCATTACAGGAGTCATATGGTTCCGTTTTACTAAAAAAAAAACTTTTAAAGTGATATATTGCAAATGGGGGCGCCAAATTAGTAATTTACGTTACAAGACCGGAAAGTAGCTTGGTGAGACCTGTAAAACACTAATTTCCGGTCGTGTGACGTACAATATTTTTTTTAAGACCGACTTTTTAATGTAAACTAATTTTATTTATTTTATTTTATAGTTATAATTAAGTAATAATCAACAAATACTACATACAACTAAACAGAAACTAGATAATGCCTAAATTGGCCAAATACATTATTTTTGAATATTTATGTTTAATGTACAATTGTGAACGTTAAATATCTGAAGGGAAGATGTGTCTGAAATACTGGGAATTGTTATGTTTTTTGTAGCGGTACTAACAAAATTAGTTTGCTGCATATTGTTTGTGTAACATCCCGCATGGATTTTGTTTGCTCTATCAATTTTGTTTTTCATTGAATTTTCAAGGTAACCTTCTGCTACGGTTGAGCATTTCCATCCTCCGTGCCGTTTTAAATTTCTAAGATCACCCCCTCCATCTACTAGCAGAGTCGCTGAGCTTCGGCGAAAGCAGTGACCTGTGAATTCGCTTGGATTTTCCAATTTAAGATAGGAGGCGATTTTGCTAGGGGTTGAACACTTCCCATTTAAAAAATAAATAAATAGTCGTTTATGGGTAGTATGCGGTGGCATCAATTGCAAATAATTCCTATTAAGTTGCAAATCTCTTTGGGAATTTACAATAAACGTTCTGGTGGTATTCTTTTTGGTTATGGGGATTTTAACTATCAACACATTGTTTCCTTATTCTCGATATCATTAAGTGTCATATTAACGAGTTCTTCGCGGCGACATGCACCTGCGGAAGTAGTTGTGATTGGCCAGTTCTGGACGGGAGGTAATGAGAGGTAATTAGTAATTATCATAAGTACCCACCCCCACCCTTCGCGCAATTAGCAAGTACCTCCCAATGAGCGTAATTTCATAGTGTAATTGCATAGCGTAATTGCATAGTGTAATAAGTGTAGTTACTTCATACGCATATAGATATAAGTATTTACTATGTATATCGAGTAGCGTGTAACGAGCATAGTAAGTACCTCTTAGATAGTAATTGCTATGTATATCATGTAGTGTAATGGGTTTAGTTCAAGTACGTATGAGTGATTACTATTGTAGCATAGGGGAAATACGTCGGAGCATACCCAACATCCTCGACTCTCAACCGTCAGAGCTAGAGTGAAGCGCGACTAGCGCGAGTCTCCAGCAGACAAGCACGACGTAAACATCGGTGGAAGGGATAGTTCCCCATTCTTCACACAATTAGCAAGTGCCTCTCGGACTTGTATATTATGAATAGGGTAGGGGATCATAGTAGAGGTGGGGATTTTTAGAGGATATATAGTAGCGCTTCTTTCCAAATAAAATCAGTTTGAAATCAACTTAAAATTGTGAACTTTAAGAGTGTTAAGAAATCCTAAATAATAACCGATTGTAGTATTGTGTGTGTTTTACAGGTAAACAAATATTTGTTTGTATTCTACCATGGCTCAATCTCAGATAGATACACTAAATAAGTTAGTTGGCGAATGGTCCACAATATTGGATCAGCGGAAACTAAAGTCATTAGTTGTAGGTCAACTTTATATTATTAAGACGATATTTGTCAAAGATACTAGGTATGGTAAATGTTTACTCATTCATTTAATTGATCGGCTTACACTTGAGCTTTTCCAGTGTTGGCTGCCAAGGCGCATTTTTGAAATAATGCCACCTGAAATCATTGCTACGATTAATGCTACTGCGGGCCAATATGCATTAGTCTATTTAGGGGAAATACCGTGTTATGGCTCAACTACTAGATCTCATATAAGGTTCGATTTAGTTAGTCAGCAATCAATTCATTCATCTGTGGTAGAGTCATTGTAAATATTTTTTTACTTTTAATTACATATAGTATACACATTATTTCATTAGGAATTTCTATAAATTTATTGTAAGTATAACTTGACCCATTTTTGTTCCTTTAATATCGGCCACATATTGTTTCAGATTATTTCGATATGTGGATGATGTATTCCGAAGAGCACTGGCCTAAAGCTATCGACTTAGAATCATCGATAAGCAGACTTGGGAGGGAACTGGATGCACTAGCGATGGATGCTTTACACTCCATCAACTATGATGCCGACATATGGCCGTTCCCTTAAGCCGTAGCATTACAGGATGAATGGTATGAGAAATACAGTAAAGGTAGCAGTCTTTGCTGTGAATATAATGCATGTGAGCTGGACTTGGATACATTCTGTGAGAAGATGGTTACCTTAAGTTTGAAGCGTTTCTTGAACGAGGTCTTACCATACATCACCCCGCAAATTAGGAGTAAACATGGTTTGGATAGAGAGCCACAGTCAGACGATGAAAATGATTAAGGATTACTTTTATAATATATCTATATGTGTAATTATAATATAAATAAAACAATATACATAGTTTTAATGTTTTTTTTATTTAAAAAAAAGGTTGTTACATGTTATTATGTATTCAGTAAATACTTCTACTACTTATTAGGCCACACCCATTAAAAGGTTAGGTTATTATGTATAAAGTAAATAACGCTACTACCTATTAGGCCACCCCCATTACACCCGTTTGCAACGCAAACATGTATATGTTACGGGCAGTGTTGTAAATTGGGCGTAACATATATATTTTATAAATCGAATGCTAGACCATGGCTAATATTAAAATAATAATTTTTCTATGTTGGAATTATAGTTGGCGGTGATCTATTAAATTCTAAAATTTGACTACTAATTAGGCATTAATGTTTTTTTGTTAAAAAGATTATATTATATTTTTTAAAGTGATTGAAAGTATGTATAGTAATATATAACATTATTTCTAAAATGTATTTATTTTTTTATCAATTTCCACTCATTGATAAATAGCCCATATATTTATTATATATTTTATAAAAATTGTAAAAAAAAAATGGCCGCACAGCGGAGGAACGAACCCGCTGATTTCATCGTGAGCACATTGCTAGCTTTTCGCTTAGCCCCGCACCCACGAAGGCGGCCACATAATGTTTATCGAAAGCTGGTTATAAAGAACCCCGAACCATTGTCCGATTGTCCGATTATCACCATCCCTACGCCAGCCTGTAAGCGATATCCGAACCATTTGAATCGGTATTGCCCTACCTGTGGGTACATGGTTCTCGCTCGGCGGGTAGCTCGGAGGCCCGCATATTTAGTGTTGTTTTTCGATTTTAGTCAAAAAGGCGTGACGATTTTCAGTTTAATATAAAGTTCCGCGAAGAAGTTCAACAGTATGAAACTTTATACGATTATAAACGATCGGATTATTGCAACAGAAGTGGACAAAATAGCAAAAAAATTCAATGTAAATGGTAAGTACTTTTTTATTAACTCTTATTAACTGAATGATTAAAAAGAGGATAAAATTTCCTGGCCGTATTAGAATTTATAATAAAATTTCCTTGCTTTTCTCAACCAAAGTTGAGTTTCCATCGTCTAGCGCAGTCAGTTAAAATAAAATAACATTAAGGACATAACAAACAGTTTAAAATTTTCGTGATTGAAAACCACGTCTTTTTGTGTGAATTGCATCTAACAATAATGTACGTCTGTATAATTATATTATGTAATTACATTTATTAATATAAAAGATGGAATTTAATTTAGAAAATATACCAGATGCACGGTTTATTGAGTTTTTTATAATTAATAAAATAACGAGAAATAATATTGCACCTAAATAGATATTTTGTCCACGACTACTTAATAATAAATCAATATTCTACCTCCTAACTAAAAGCATATGGTACTCATATATCACGGAGTGAATTATGATAATTCACGCTTTTGTAATTCTGGCAAATTCCGGTAAATAACTAAAGATGGGCGATACTTTTCATAACGATATTTTCTAGATCGAAAAATCGAAAAAGTGAAAAATCGAAAAATCGAAAAATCAAAAAAAATCGAAAAAAATCGAAAAAATCGAAAAAAATCGAAAAAAATCGAAAAAAATCGAAAAATCGAAAAAAATCGAAAAATCTAAAAAAAAACGAAAAATAAAAAAAAAAAAAGAAAAATCGAAAAAAAAACGAAAAATCGAAAAAAAAAAAATCGAAAAAAAGAAAAATGAAAAATCGAAATAAAAATCGAAAAATCGAAAAAACAACAGTTAGTTACCTATGTTTAATAAAAACTTTCTATTCTACACTTCACTTTTATTTAATAAAGAAACCATAATGGTCGTGGACAAAGTATAGTATTAGTCTCGCAATTTATAGCCATTATTCACTCGGGTGACTTGCGTGAATAA